CAGAGAGACAGAAAGTAAGAAATCACCCCCCAGGGGGGATGGTCACGCCGCAATCCCTTCTCCTCCATTCTCCTCTCGGGATCTTGGGTACACATGCACACGTGCCCAGTGTGAGTTTAAGACGCCGAGTCTGGGACTTGAACCGCGGTTGACTACATGGGAGTCCAGCAACATAGCCATTACGCTAACTGCTGGTCCCAAGACCTGGCCTTTTCTTTATTGGGAAGTTATTCATTACTCATTCAATCTCATTGCTTATTATGGGTCTACTCAGGCTTTCGGTGTCTTCCTGATTCAATCTTGGTAGATTCTGTGTCCAGGAACTTGCCCATCTCATCCGGTTTTCCTCTTTATTGGTGTGTAGTCACACAGAGTATCCTCTGGTGATGATTTGTATTTCTGTTACGTCTTTTGTAATATTGCCTATTTCATTATGGATTTGACTTATCGGGTTCCTTTCTCTCTTCTTAATTAGTCTAGCTAATGGTGTGTCAATTTTGTTTGTCTTTTCAAAGAACCAGCTTTGGTTTCTTTTATTTTCTGTATGGTTCGCTTATTTCCTGTTTCGTTTATCTCTGCTCGAATCCTTCTTTCTTTTCTCTTGACATTTTTTTTTGGGTTTTGTTGTTGTCATTTTTCCAATTCCCTGAGGCATGATGTTAGGTTGTTGGTTTGCCACCTTTCCATCTTTTTTCTTTTTTAAAATTTATCTATTTATTTATTTACAGTCATTCACTGTACATCAATACAGTAGACAAAATGACATTTTCCATCCAGTATACATTGTATATTCAATCAATCAAGGATATTCTCATGCACGTTATCATCAAAATTTTTTTCTATTTCTTATTTCTTACTTATTTTGCTTTATTTTCTTCCCGTTTGATTCCTTACCTCTTACCCTCTGCCAGCTTCCCCCCTTTTCCCACACTGTCTCTGGTATGTACAGTTGTTTTCCATACCTTTTTTCTTCACAGTTTAGTGACTCACTACAGATCTTAATTTAAAGACTTTCAATAGCAAGCACAGGTGATATATACATATTTATGAACACATGTCTGACCTTAGGCATAAACCTCAGTGAGTAAAGTGAACATACTATTAAGTAGCACCTCACTGGGGCTATATAGCTTACTGCAGTCATTAAATAGATATTAATATGTATTTTAATGTATTTTTTTAATTTCAAAAAGTTTTACTTTTAATAGATCAAAAAATTTTTTTAAATGTTTAAAATTTGCTTAAAACTTAAAGCCAGCAAAAAAGTTAGGATTCAGTTCAAATAGTAGGTTGATAAACTTATCAATAGTTCAAGAGAAGACAAAAATCCTTAAATATGGAAATCAAAGCATTGAAGAAAATCAGTAATGTTTACTAATCAGTCTAAAGTAAAAAAAATTCTATTTCACTAGTTCAACTCACGTAATTAATCTCTTCAATTGAATTTCCAGTGTTACTGTGATCTGATCTTTCCATTTAAACTCTGGAAGTTTGAGTGGATATTTGAGTGCCTCTCTAGGTATAGAAAGTTTTCTTCCAGGATTTCATGGAATAGATTATCAGTACTCTTATTAGTTTCTTCACCTTCTGGGATACCCATGATTCAGATGTTTGGGCATTTAATGGTATCTAGTATTACTCGTATGTCATTCTCATTTTTGGGGGTTATTTTCTCAGTCTTTTTGGTGAATTTTTCTAGGTCAGAAGTTCTGTCTTCTATATCTGAGATTCAGTCTTACGCATGATCTAATCTGCTTTTGATATTTTCAAGGGAAGTTTCAATTCCCTGTATTACAGCCATCATCTCTAACAATTCTATTTGATTCTTTTTTAGATAGCTGCTAATTGGCTTATCCTAACTCCTGGCTAGATTGGGGAGCAGGAGGGTGAAGTCTGGGCAGAGTGTCTTCTATGGTCAAAATCCTCCATCTTTTTCTTATGCACACTAATTGCTATGAACTTTCCTCTTATGACTGCTTTTGCTGTGTCCCATAGATTATGGAAACTTGTGTACTCATTGGTTTCCATAATTCTTTTGATTTAAATCTTAATTTCTTCAGTAGCTGTGAAGTCATTCAGGAGTAGATTGTTTAGTTTCCATATGTTTGTGTATTTTAAGATTTTTTTCCCTGTAATTAATACCAAATTTAATTTCATCATAGTCAGAGAAGATATGGTTTCTGTGCCTTTGAATCTATAAAGGCTTGTTTTGTGCCCTATCATGTGGTCAGTCTTTGAAAAGGGTCGAGGGAAAACAAGCAGTATTTTGTGGGTTTGGGGTGGAAGGTTCCACAGATGTCTGTCAAGTCCACTTGATTTATGGTATCATTTAGATCCTGAGTCTCTTTGCTTGTTTTTTGTCTATATGATCTGTCCAAAAGAGATAGTAGGGTATTGAGACCCAAATGATTAGTGTGTGGTAGTCTATCTGTCCTTTTAGATCTAGCAGTCTTTCCTTCACGTATTTGGGTGCTTCTATGTTGGGTGCATAGATATTTATAAGCATGATATCTTCTTGATTAGTTAGACTTTTTATTGCTTTATAATGCCCTTCTTTATCTCTTCTTACAGTTTTTGTCTTAAAGCCTATTTTGTCTGAAATTAGTATTGCAACTCGAGCCCTTTTTGGGTTTCCATTTGCATGGGATACCTTTTCCCAGCTCCTCACTTTTATAAATGTTTTTATTCATGAGGTACATTTCTTGTAGGCAACAGATAGAGAGTCTGTTTTTTTTAATCCATTCAGCTAGTATGTGTCTTTTGATTGGAGAATTTAATCCAGTAACATTTAACGTTATTATCAATATTTCTGAACTTGTTCCTACCATTATGTTAGCCATTTTCTTGGTTATTTTTTGTTCTTTTATTTCTCTCTGTCTCTCTTTAGTATTTCTGGTATAGCACTCCCTTCAGAACTTGATAAAGAGCTGGTTTGGTGTTCATAAACTCAGGTTTTGTTTATTTGAGAATATTTTTATCTTTTCTTCCCATTTAAAGGATAATCTTGCTAGCTATAGTAATCTTGATTGAAACTATTTTTCTTTTAACACGTTGCATATATATCTTCCCATTCCTTCCTTGCTTGCTTATTTCCACTTAGAGATCTGATGTTAGCCTGATGGGATAACCTTTGTAAGTAATTTGATGTTTTTCTCTTGCCATTTTTGGTATCTTGTCTTTATCTGTGATTTTGGCCATTTGGGCTATGTTGTCCCATGGAGAGGATCTTCTTGGCTTGATTCTATTTGGGGTCCTTTCTTGGGTTTGGATGTTTGATTGCTTCTCTAAGTTTGTGAAATTTTCAGCAAGTATTTCATGGAATAGACCTTCAATGCCTTTATTCTCTGGAATACCTATTATTTGAATATTTGAGCATTTCATAATATCTCTTACTTCCCGTATGTTGTCCTCATTTTCTTTTCATTAATTTTGGTCTTATCTAAGTCAAAGGTTTTGTCTTCCAACTCTGTCTTCTGCCTGGTCTAAGTCAAAGGTTTTGTCTTCCAACTCTGTCTTCTGCCTGGTCCAGTCTACTATTAATATTTTCAAGGGAGGTCTTGATTTCCTGTATTCCTCTCTTCATCTCTAGGAGTTCTGATTGAGTTTTTCTTTGTTTTAATGGTGTCTATCTCCTCCTTCAAATCCTGGAAAGACTTCATCTCTGTCACCATGAATATTCTGAACTCTATTTCTGACATTCTGCAAATTCCCTTATGCTGTCCATGGTTGAAGAAGAGCTGCTCTCTTCCATTGAGGAAGAGGTATTTCCTTGTTTTCTCATACCTTTTGTGCCTCTGTGCTGGTTTCCAGTCACCTGATGGATTATACAGGAGTTCCTGCTTTTCTGTTGTCCATGGCTACCGAGGGCAAGGGGCTGTCGTCATGCCCCCCACCCCTGGCTCTGGGTGCGCAGTTCCAGGTTATGCTGTGGAAAGATACCACTTGCCATTTCTGTAAACTCTCCACATTCTGCACCCCTCCCTCCCCCTTCCCTCCCCAGCTTCATCCTCTCCACTCCCTGGCTCAGTGCAGGCTTCAGGGAGCCCCTGCCTTTTTTCCTAGGTAGAACCCTGGGATACTTTCTCTCCAAAGCACAGCCTTCTTGGTCATTTAAGGAATTCTTGACATTCTGCCACCTCCTCTTTTTTTTTTTTTTTTTTTCTTGGGGTTAGGGTTAGTGTTAGGGTTGAGGTTAGGGTTAGATTTAGGGTTAGCTTTTCCCAAGTATCTGAGAGATGACAGAAGTGTGGGCAGAGCCCAAGCTTTCCTTGGGTCTTTTCTTGACCTCCCCACGGGCCTGGCGCCTGGCCGGCTTGCATAGAGTGCTGTGCTTTCTTCAGATGGAAGTTTGAAGGCCCTGGGGAGTCCACACGCCTGTCGTCCCAGGTGCATGAGTCAGGAGCTAAGAGCACTGGGAGAGCTGGAGCTATTCTGACTCCTGCACCCTCCAGGGTGCCTTAGCCCCAACTCTCAGTTCTGCTAAAGCACAGTGAGCCTGGGCCTGTGGCCTGTGGGCTCGCCATGCACCTGCCCAGCCCAGCCCACTGGGCAGCTCTTCTGTGATCTAGGTATGAGGATCCCTGAGCCCCAGCTCCCCCTTGGTGTCTCCATTTCCAGACCACAGCTTCTGCACGGAGAGCTCCAGGCTGTGGACCTGAGTCCGTGGTTCTCACACCTTAGGGGTGTCAGAATCCCCTGCACAACTTGTTCAAACACCCCCAGAAGTCCTGAGGCAGGGGGCCTGGGTGGGGCCTGAAAGCCTGCATTTCTAGTAAGTTCCCAGGTGGTGCCAGTGCTGCTGCTGGCACCCTTTTGGTAATGGGGCAAACCTCCCCCAGGGAGCTTCCGATGCCAGTGATGACACCTGTCTCCTGCTCCTCGCTCCTCTCCTGGCCTCTGGCCATGCAGACCTGTGGGCTGTCTTACCCAATAGTGACCACATTTGTCCGGTGGCTCTTACAGGGAAGAGAAGGAGCGGTGGATCCGGGCCAAGTACGAGCAGAAGCTCTTCCTGGCCCCGCTGCCGTGCACAGAGCTGTCCCTGGGCCAGCACCTGCTGCGTGCCACTGCCGATGAGGACCTGCGGACAGTCATCCTGCTGCTGGCGCATGGCTCCCGGGACGAGGTGAACGAGACCTGCGGGGAGGGAGACGGGCGCACGGCGCTGCACCTGGCCTGCCGCAAGGGCAACGTGGTCCTCACACAGCTCCTCATCTGGGTAGGTGTCCTGGCCGGCCGGGCGGGCCCCTCCACCCGTGCTGCGTCTGCGCGTGCCTGGGTTCTGGTGGGGAACTGCTGTTTAACTGGTGCAAGGCCAAGATATACCCCATGGGGCGTTTGGGCTGAAGCGTGGGGCCCCTGCCTTTTGGGCTCACCTGTGAGAGGGCTGGAAACGAGGATCGCTTGTCCGAGAGCTGCTGATAAAGGGGAGGCAGAGCCACAGCCATTCTCTGCACTTCGGGGGACAAGGCATCTTCTGTGCAGCCCCTGCCAGAGCTTCTACAAAACCCACCTTTTGGTCACCCCTCCAAGTAGGGCACAGCTGGGGTATCTCTTCTTCATTTGCATCGTTTTTGGGAAGTTAAAGAAATGCATAAACCAAATGGAAAGGGATCACGTGACTGTGCAGAGGGGCTGCCCGCACGCCTCCATGGGCCTCGCAGGCCAGGTCCCCACCTGGTAGCTCCCCTCTGAAGCAGGTGGAGAGCTGCCTGCTGAGAGGTCCCTGGGCAGGGAGGAGAGGTGCCTGCTCAGCAGAACAGGGGGCAGTGCCAGAGGTGGGCCACTTCTGGGACTCCTCTGTCCTCTGCAACTCCAGGAGTGGGTCTGCCCAGCTCGGTGAGGGACGGCGCAGAGTGCTCTGTGCCTTTAGGCTGCCTTTTGTGATGGGGAATGGAGGGTCCGATCAGATGCACAGGTACTATGTCCAGACCACCCCGAGTCCCAGCTACCCGTGGGCCCACTGGCAATGCTAAGACTTAGTGGGGACTTAGTGCAAGTCCGGCAGCCCCAGCGACCAACGTGATTCCCACAGGCAGGGCGGCCTCAGCAGCAGACCTTTCCCCTGCAGTCCTGCAGGCTGCGCCAGGGCCAGCTTCTCCCCGCTTCTCCCTACCATGGTCTTCCCTCCGTGCAAGGGTCCTGGGGTCACTTCCTCTTCTCATAGGACACCACTTGTGCTGGATTGGGACCCGCCCAATGACCTCGAGCACCTCTTTAATGAAGGACCCTATCTCCAGGTGCAGGGGTTAGGGTTCAATGTGTGACCTCGGGGGAGCCCCTAACAAATTGCATGCTGCCTTCCCTCAAGTTGTCCCAGAGTCGCGTTATGGGCAGTGCTGCGTGCTGAGAGTGCGCGAGGACACCAATACATGGCAGACTGGCAGGAGTGGGAGCCAGCCAGGAGCTTCAGAATTCCGCCTACGGCAGGCGAGGACAACCCCCCCTCTCATCAGTGTCCTAGGCATCGGGGCCCGAGAGCCTGAGGGGTGCTTCATGGCGCCATCTCAACAGATGACAGCGCGCTTTTTCTTTCTTAGGGTTTGGCCAGAGAGAAACAGAGAGAGGGACAGCGAGAAATCACCCCCCAGGGGATGACCACATCACAGTCCCTTCTCCATTCTCCTCTTGGGATTTTGGGCAGGTACACACGCACCCAGAGTGGTTTTCTTGCTGCTGGGCCCAGGAGTTGAGCCACAGTAGGCCATGTGGGAGTCAGCACCTTAGCCACCACACCTGCTGGCCCCCCATGGCAATTTTTTAACAAAAATGTGTAGCAATCAAGGACAGAGTGCCTGAGTTATGTTCCTCTGAGGGAATACTGTGTAGCTATTGTGTGTCATGTTTCGAGTTGTTAATAAGGTAAGAAAATGATCATAGTACACTGTTCAGTGGGAAAAGGGTGCATATTTCTTGTATATTTTGATCTTCACCCTGGCTACATACATTCAGATTTAAAGAAAAGCCTTCGGAAGAAAATGCACTGAAATGCTAACCACAATATCCCGAGTAGCGAGGTCAGAGGTGAGCCCTCCTCTGGAGGCACATGTCCTGCCCCTCCGCCCAGCCCCCGACACTAACACGGGCTCTGTCGCTCTGCAGTACGGCGTGGACGTCATGGCCCGCGACGCCCACGGGAACACGGCGCTGGCCTACGCGAGGCAGGCGTCCAGCCAGGAGTGCACCGACGTCCTGCTGCAGTACGGCTGCCCGGACGAGCGGCCCGTGCTCGTGGCCACCCCCAACCTGTCCCGGAGGAACAACGCCCGGAACAACAGCGGCGGCAGGGTGCCCACCATCATCTGAGGGCCGGCCGTGCCCACCACCCCGCTGCACCGGATGCCCTCCGCCCGCCACGCGCTCTCGGAAGTCACGGCACGTGAGTCTCGTCGCATCCCTCGCTCCTCCTGGTGGTCACCTGCCACCCACCCACCCACTTTCACCCCAAACGAAATCACAAAACCTGAACGTCCTCAGAGGGAGCGAAGAGGAGTCCAGGAGGCTGCAGAGTCGACTCCTTTTCATAAAGTCCCCTGAACAACGAACAGGAGAGACCCACGGTTCTTGGTTCTTTGATGAGAGCACACAGCGCACCCCGGCCCCTGTCCTGGTGGCCTGCAGGGGGGGCGTGGCGGGGGACGGGGTGGGGGAGGGGAGGCGAGGCCCAGGAGAGGGGCGCTCCCCTAACTGGCAGTTAAGCACATCAGCACATTTCACCTCTACCAAACGGATCGCCTGGATTCTGTCTCTTCTCCGAGGAGCTTGACGGCATAAATCAGAAGCAAGCACAGAGTTTGTCAGGTCTGAAGCCCCTATGATGGTGTGTGTCAAATCAGTTGTAGCTAATCTGTCCAGGGAGAATACTGGCTTCATTACACTTGTATAGTTGAGTTCTTCCAGCATTACCGCTGTTTAATAGAACATGATTAGTCATCACCGAGAAGAAAGCATATTAGCCGAGGAGGTAGCTACGCGGCACGCTCCGGTGATTGCCACGATGTGATTGCAATACTCGTGGACGCATCATATTATCCCAGACATGTTCTTTCGAGCCCTTGGAGCCCTCCTTTCTAAATCCACTGTCATAATTTAGTATCTGTTTAATTTTTCAGTCCAAAGAGAGGAAATCGGTTGCTGAGTATTATTTGACTGTAGTCTCCTTGGTGCAAAAACAAGATGGAAAAAATACATAAGAATAACTCCGAAATTCAAAAGGAAATCACAGATTCGGCTCGTGATAGCATTTCGAGTACACTTCATAAACTAGGCAAATACATAAAAGGCTATTTTTCCAAACAGGAGAAACATTTGATGTCCCTTGGCCGGGTGGGTGTATTGGGTCCTGGCCACTCCCGGGCCACGTGGCCCAAGTTACACAGGCTTCTGTGTTCCGTCTTTAGATACGATGTGTGAAATCTATTTGAATAAAAGAAGTTCATAAATATGCATCGATTTTTGTACAGACAAATGGCACCTCTGTTAATTTATAAATTGAACTGGGTGTGAGCTAATAACGCGCAGCTAGTTGAGATAAGGGGGTTACAGATCATTGTACATGGAACATATTCCCAGCAGTAAACACTTCCATTAATGTGACATACAGCTTTTAAAAAGGAACGGATCAGAACAAGATGGTGGTACAATTTGCTTATTAAAATCGAGAAAGGAAAAAAAAAAAAAAAAAAAGACACTGAAGCATATTAGAAAGAGGGGAAAAGAGGCCTGTGATTTCTCATTATTGAAATCCTGAGTTAGCTCTGATAACCAAGAGTGAGGACTCTGGCAGGACGGGGTGGTGGTCCGAACACCACCAGGCCAAGGTGCTCTGCAGAGGCGGACCGTGGCAGCTGCCAGGGTGTTGGTGACACAGGCTGACTCTTGAGAACCCGTAGGGCCCGGGCTCGGCAGCCAGGCGCCCCTCGCCCCGGTCCAACGCCCCGCCTGACTGCCACCTTTGCGGTCTCAGGCTGCTCCTGACGTCGGCCACCTTCAGCGTGGTGGTCAGAAGTGGTAGACCGAAACGTGACATACCGGGGGGACAGAGACAGGAGGGTGGCGTGGCTAGGTCCCTTTAGCAGTATGACGAGAAAGGATTGTCACATTGGAAGATGGGACACCGGGCTGATGTGACCCAGAGACACAAAGCCACATTCGCCCAGAGGCCTCTGGGGTGGTTCCTTGCTCTCATGTAATAAACCTTATATTTTGTAAGAGTTTTTCCTCATCTTTCACTTTTTAAAAAAAAAAAAAAATAAATGTAGGTGGGAAAAAACAATAAAACTTTACACAGAATTTCTATGTGGGTGTTTCATGGCAATTCCTAACCTTAGCTGAGTTTAGTGGAACTCACCAGTATCCAGAAAGACCAGGAGCAGAAGCTGCAGGTCTCAGCACCTTGACAACAGTCCTTAATCCTCCATCCTGTTTTTAATTTTGCATTTCATCACTGTGTCGTTATTTTAAATGTGAATAGAGAAAAAAGAAGTCGTTGCCTATTTTTGAAGAATGCATTAGCATTCTAATCTAGCTACCCACATTTGCCTCTACACAGCCCATGCCATAGATCCTCTGTAGTGAGCACAGATAGAGTCTAAATGAAATTCTTAAATTATTTCATTGTAGTTAATTCCCACTATAGGAATGCTTTATCAGAGTGAAGCCTTCTTTTGAAAAGAAACGGAATTCCTTGTAAGGCTTCTCTTTGGGGTGTATATGAGCGTGTACATATTATTATATGTGTTTATAATATAATATTTTCCCAAAAGACTTCTCGTTTCACTTCGCCTCCCACAACCTGAATGCTAGCTCGGGTTTCCCCTCCATCCCCTTCAGTCCAGATGCCCTGGGCTCCTCCCTAGGAAACACAGCCCCTCCTCTGCCATTCTTCGTGACATCGGTCTGCTCCAAGGGGCAGACCACGTGCTCAGCCCCAGGGGTTGGCGGCAGTGGGACAGGTGGCAATGAGCTTCCAGGGTTCTCTTCCCAAGGAAGGAGCCTGTGGCCCACCTGCTTGTCTTTCCATGTCAAAGTAGACTCCTTTCTCCATAGACGACACCCTGCCTGTGTGCTAACACCAGGGCTGGGAGCAGCGAGGCCGGTGCGAGTCGATAGTTTCCCTTGCTCACTTCCATGAATGGGCCTATGAGGTGACAGTAACATGAGAAGCCACCCTGTGGAATCCACATAACCATTTCTGTTCAGAATGAAAATTCTCATTCTCCCTTGACAAGAAGCAGCCAGCTGGGGGAGGCCACAAGCCGGCCGTGGGCACCCAGATAACCACGTGGGTGATCGGGACGTCACAGTTGCCACTACGGTTAAGCCTGGCGGTTACCCAGTGGAAACATGTGGTCCACACCCAGCTGGACTGCATCAGTTGCTGAGCAGACCCTGCTGGGCTGACCCGCGTGAGCCGCACGCGAGTGCTGGGGTGGGCAGAGGGCTGACCAAGCCCGGCTCCTCTGCTATGGTCCCTGTCCCATCTGTCCCCTGTCCTCTCAGGAAAGGAACAGCGCAGGGTGAGCAAAGGTCAGGCTCATGCATGTTGGGTCCCAAGAACAGGTCGTATGTCTCAGAGAAGTGCACACAGTACATGTGTGTCCCAGAGAGGCAGAGGGCGGCAGTGGGCTGCTTGCTGAGCACGGGGCCGTCAGGTGCAGGCGGGAGCTGGTGTTCGTCAGATTGGACTCGACTCCGACCTTCGGGTCAGAGTGGCAGTGTGTCATCTGCACCGCTCAGACCAGGTCTGAGCGGCGACTTTCAGCACAAGGGCAGCCTTGCATTTAAGCTCGCTCTTCTGAGATGTTGCCCTGCCCCCGAGGTCAGCCAGCACGCAGCCTCTGCCACTCAGCGTAGATGCCGTAGACGCCGTCTTCCTGGTGTGAAATGTGCACAGATCTGGAGTCTCCCCACCCCCTGTCGGCAGAGAAACCATTTCTCACTTCATCAGGGTGGACCCGATAAGACAGTCCTGGGGCCACAGCAGCCTGGGCTCCTGCCCTGCCCTCCTGCCGGAGGACGCTCAGGAAGCTGGGCAGACATGCAACCCTCAGGCTCTGTCCTCGGCTGTGACACCTGCAGGGCACAGGGAAGTTCTGAGCCGCGTGGTCAGTGCCAGCCTGACGCTTGGAGCGTTTATCAAGAACAGAGACTCATAGGCTCAGAGCCAGGGCCCCTACCTGGACGCCTGCTCAGCATGGGTCATGCCTGTGTCCAGGCCGGCAGTGATGGGCACGGGTGCCCGTCCTCCTGAGGGAGCCTCTGGGCCTCCTTCCCCTGCCCACTCTCCATCTCATCAAACCCCACTTCTCAAACCATCTCGGTTTTTCGAATCTGAGTTTGCCCAGAGGGAAGGGGCGCTGAGTCCTGGCCTCCTGCCTCTGGCTCAGGTTGCTTCCGCCCCAAGTGAACGGCCCCTCTCTGTTTCCCATCCCCGGCTACCTTGTGCCCCCAACGTGGACCAGCCTCCCTACCCTCAGACAGGCTCCCAGACGTCGTGAGGCTGCTGGGACCTGTGCCTGCATTGTCCTCACGTGGGCACCCTTCTCCCTGTCACCATCCGAGTGTGCTGGAGAGCACCCCGGGCTGCCCCTGCCCTGCCCTGCCTCTGCCCTGCTGTCCGCTCGCCCCGCCTCTGCCCTGCTGTCTGCTCACCCTCTTCCTGCTCCACAAGTCACCTGCTCAGCCACCACCCTGACCTGTACTTACAGGTGACAGGAGTCCGCTGGCTCCCATGCTGCCACTCCTTCCTCCCTGCTTTCAAAGCCACATTCCGGAGGTGTAGCCAGGTCTCCAGAATTTTTCAAGAGGCAGAGGTCTCTGGAGAACCAATCCGTTACCTCTGAACGGGCTGCTCCCCCAGCCCCCTCTGTCGCCATCCCTCACACCCCCACAAGGTCGGCCAGACTCCTAGAACTCCCCTGGGTTGTATTTATGGCCTTCGAGCAGACAAATTGAAAAGCAGTCAGGAAGGAATTGAGACAGAAACGTGCTGTAGACACACATCTCTCCTTCAAAGGAGATGTAATTTATCCCTGCTGCCTCCTCAAACTTGGGTTTCGCATGTCGTGAAGTCCTGTCTTAAAGTGATTTTCACCCTCATCCTTCACCAAAAATCTAAGTAAGGGCCTCTGGCATCTAGTCTTAGATTTTTCACTGGCAGTTCTTAGATTCTGGGTGGCTTTCTTCAGGGAGTCCTTTCCTGTCTTGGATACATGCCCCCCGCCACCCCCACCCCAGCCCACCTGGCCAGTTTGCGCGGGTGTAGGCTGCTCACCCTGGCGGCTCGGGCTGCCCTGCCTCCATAGGTTTACTCAGACGTTGGAATTAGGTTACTTGTCAGCCATAATGTCACACCCCTTCCCCCTTAGCAGGAGAGAGAAGGGTAGAGGATATCTCCATGGGCTCAATGGTCTGTCACTGCCCACACCAGGAAGCACTCCTGGGTGCTGGGACCACAGGGGTTAGAGAGAAACAGTGGCATGGACTCCTGGCCTCCTTCTTCACAGCATAGGTGTTGTGATTTCAGAACACAAGTATTCTTCCCCTTAGACAACAAATATCGTCCATAAAACCATCTGTTTCTTTTTTCTTTTTCTTTAGAGAGAGATTTTTGCTATAGGGCGTGTGTGTTCACCCAAGAGACAGAAAGTGAGAAATCACCCTCCCATGAGGATGGCCGCGCCACAATCCCGTCTCTGTTCTCCTCCTGGCACACACGCACTCCTGGCATGACTTTGAAGCCTTCAGGTCCAGGACTCAAACCACAGTCCGCCATGTGGGAGTCAAGCACCTTAACCACTACGCACCTGCTGGTCTCCAAATCAATCTCTTTAGTATTGGTGGAGTCCCCATTTAATTTGTATGCCTGACTTTTTAAACGTGGGTTTGCATCGTAAATCAGTTTAAATTAGAAGATAGTTCACTGGAGAGGATTTTGGGAAGGGGTTCTATAGACCTGGTGTCTTGGGCCCGCCAGTGGCCTGGTGGTTGGGGCGCTGGGTCCCACAGGGCGGGCAGCATATTTGGAGTCCCAGCCTATGGCTTGAAAACACACCAGGCGCGTGTGTGTGCGTGCCTGAAATCTCAAGAGAAGAATGGAGAAGGGATTGCAGCGTGGCCACGACCCTTGAGGTGCTTTCTCACTTTCCCTCTCTCTCTTCCTCTCTCTGGTGAGTGCACATGCAAATTTAATTGCATGACTGTAAATTGGATGTTTAAAAAAAAAAGTCTTTTTTAATCTGTGATTTTCAAAGAGCCCAGGTTTTAGAAGTACCTTAGTTTCTCCTGTGTAGTAAGCACCCTCCCCCTAATAGCAGTATAGCACATGTAAACTTGAAAACCTGCCCTTACCTTCCCACTGGCCAGTAATGGAGTTCGCTTTGGAGGGTTGCACCTGCTAGGGAAAAAAGTTCTCGTCTGAGGCCCTCCCTGCACACGGACAGGCGTCGGGGTCTGCAGGGAGCAGGGTTGGTGCAGGGGTTGCCACAGGCCCACAGCGTTTTCTGGCCACCAGGCACGGCCACCCAGTGCTCAGCTGCTCCCGGCCAAGGTGAGGTGCCTTCTGGGTGGGAGAGAGAGGTGGACTCAGGGCTCCTTTTTGTTCTGCGCTAGCACGTGGCGTCTGTAGGAGGACGCAGCCCCACCCCCGCCCCCCAGGCTGTGAATCAAGCCATATGACAGAGACT